AACTCTAAATCGACGTTATAAGAACTTCTAATAAGTTTTAAATACTTTTCTCTATAGATCGCTATATATGAGAAATCGTTAGAAGGTTTAAACGGCGATAGTGAGGTTTAACGATAGCGTGATATAGCTTTAAAAGTAATTCTTAGATATATTAATAAGAGATGTATACTTAATAGATCTTCTAAAGTATTACTATTAATTAATAAGAGCCTAAGTAATCGAATATTAATAGCTGAAAAATAAGATTATAGCGTATCTTATAAACTTCGAAGTAAACTTTAAATAAAGTCTATTTATTTAAAAACGACGTTTATTTATCATATATATTTAAATAGAAGTCTTTCGTATTATTACTATTACTTATATCATCTAACTTTTAATTTAACTCTCTTCTTTCTTTTAATAAGATTTTATTCGTAAGTGGGTTATTAAATAACTATTTATTATACGTATTAACGGTCTTAGCTATACTCGCTACGCCGTCGAAGAATAAATCTAATACTACTTTTATATTAAATCGATTATTATCTCGTTATATAAAGTCTACTTATAACTCTCTAGTATATTAAAATAAGTTAATAGCGAGATTCTTTATCGAGTAATAGTCGTTCTAATAGATCTTAAAGTATAATTAAAACGACTTCTTAATATTCTTAAAAAATCGAGTATTAAGAGAGATATACTTAAATAGATAGTTGAAATCGAATAAAGAATTACATCGCTTACGAAATATGATTTTTATTTTATTATTAAGATACTTATTAAATAGATTAATCTCTTTTTATATATCTCGTTATTTAATTATATTAATAAGGGAGTTAAAAAGAATAGCTTAAGCTAGTCTTTTATCGATAGCGGAGTTATCGCTATTATAATTAGTATAATACTTTTATTAGAGTATTAATTTCGCGTAATAATAGAATCTTAATCTATAGAAGAAGAAATATATCTAATTTAAAGTATAAGAAATTAAGTTAATATTACCCCATTTAATATCGTACTTTAAAATAAAATATAACTTTATACTTTATAAGAACTTTATATAATTTTAGTAGATAATATTTTTTTTATTAGCTAGTTTTCTAATAAATAGATCCTTTCGAATAGAGATTATAATCTCGTTTACCTCTTCGATTATATAGATAATAAGCTAATACTCTATTATAGTATAACTCTACTCGCTATTAAAAGGCGAGATATATATCTAGAATATTATAATTATTTAGGTCTAAAATAAGTAAGTAAGAAACTTATCTAATATCTAGAAGTTATTCTTTTCTACTAGCTTAATATTTTTTCGACTTTAAAAGTTCTAAATATATCGTAAGTATAATAAATTATTAGATTTATAGTTTGTTTACTTAGACTTCTAAGAATAGCTATCTCGATTAATTATTTTTAAATTAATCTTATTTATCTTTTCGAGATTAAGTAATAAAGTACTCTTCTAATAAACTTTATAAATAACTGTTAAATAGATTATTTTAGTATAAAATAGGAATAATATAGATATTAACTAGATTATTCGGCTAAAATTAAAAGTCTCTTACTTAGTATAACGTTATTTAATACTCTATAATCGAGCGAATATAAGTTAATCGCTATATATAAGACGTAAGCTAATACTTTAATAGAGATCTTCTTATAGAATTTTAATTTGCTCTATATAAATATTTTTAATAATCTTAAGATTTCCTTTTATAATACTCTTATTAATATTAATAGAATTAAGGGAATAACTCTTAATCTTATAAAGAAATAGTCTATTTATCTCTAGTATATAAGTAATTAACTTATTTTTATATAATATACGTTATTATATAGAAAAGGCGTTATAAATAACGAGATGAATAAGATAATTAATATACTAAAATAAGGCGATTAGCCTATATCGCTCGTAATACGATATACTCTTATCGAGAAATTATCTTATTTATTAGCGAGTATTATCTTTATATAGCTTAAATATATTTAATATATAATATAAACTTAGAGGTTTTAAGTAATTTATTATAGAGGCCTTTAGTTTATTAAAAGATATATTATCTTCTTTAATAATATAGCCGATAACTATCGACTTTAGCTTTCTATTATTATTTATCCTCTATTTCTTAACTCTCTATATTTACTTTAAATTATTATACTATATATAATAGTTATTAAAATAGCCTATAAACTAAATTCGATTAATATCTTTAGCGCTAGATTTTCGAATATATTATAAGATTCTTTAATAGAGTATAATTAACTCGAGCTTATTATAAAGTTTTAAAATTAATTATTTAACTCTACGTAAATATATAAGAATATTTAATTAAATAGAAATTAAGCTAGTTCTAGTTTTTTATTATTAAAAGTATATAATATTAAATAGTATAGTAATAAATTCGAATTGAGATTATTCGAAGTTCTTCTTTTTCTTTATATATTAAGACTAAATAATAATTGATAAGAGATTAATAAAATATAATACTCTATTCTTAATCGCATTATATAATTAATTTAGATTTATATTATAAAGTCTATTTAAGTTATTTATTACTTATTATTTAAAAAGATCTAAATTATTAATCGCGAGAATCTTACTACGTAGTAGATTCGAAATCTATTCTATTCTTTCTAGTATAATCTTTTAATAACTCGATTAGATACGCTTAATAGGCTTATTAATCGAATTATCCTTTAATAGAATATCGAGTAAAGAATCGTTTTTAGTTTAAAGTTTTATAAAAAGATTATACTATAAAGAACGATCAGCTATAAAAATCCTCTATTTATATTTTTATATATCTTTTAATAAGTTATAGATACTTAACTCTTTCTTTAATAGTATATCTATAACCTTCTTAATCTTTCTAGCCTTTATCTTTTTTAACTTTCTCTTCTTAATCGTAATAATCGCTTTTAGCGAGATATTATTATCTCGCTTATTATCTAAGTACTATATCGGCGTAAGAGAGATAGAAAGTTTTAGTATATATTCGTAGATAGATAAGGTAGACTCTATAGCGATAATAGATAGATTAGATATTAATTAGTAATATAGAAAATAATTAAAGATGAGATCTATTTAATAAAATCTAGAGATTCTTACTAAGACCTCGCTAAGACCTCGTTAAAACCTCGATAAGATCTCTTCTTAATAAGATCTCTTTTATATTTAAACTAATTATTTTTTATTAATTTATCTTTTTATCTTATTAGTCTTCTAATTAGTTATAGTCTCCTTTCTCTTTTTATTTAATATTATTTAAATTAGAGTTATTATATATAATAAGTCTATTATATTTAATCTTATTATACTACTCTTCTAAATAAATCTCACGCGTAAAGATCTATTAATAAATTATTTAACGACGTATTTCTAATATAGTCTAGTTGTTTAATACGCTATATATAGAAAGTGTAATTATAAAACTTTATTATCGCCTTAATTTTTTTTATATAACTTTATATAAGGAGGTTCTATTAAAAATTTTTAAAGTAAAGAGAAATATTACTTAACTTCTAACTTTCTTTAATAAGAAATATATTAACTACTAATAAATATAGAGCTTAATATCTCTTATTATTTTTTTGAAATTATAGTATTAAGATAACTAAGTAATATTTAATTAGATCGTTTATAATAATAATATAGATCTTTCTATATTTAAAAACGTCTTTTTCTATATTTTATATATCTATAAGAGACTTTAACGCCGTATAAGATATTCTTATTTATCGATATCGCCGCTATTAATATCTAACTTTATATTAAAAGAATAATTTATCTCCGCTTCGCTCTTCGCTCTACTCTCCGTAAATTTAATTACTTATTTATTTATATATATCGCCGCGGCGATACTCTACTTACTTACTTACTTACTTACTTATTTATTTATTTATATATATTATCGCGACGACTCTTATAAGTCTAATTATTTAAAAAATAGAGAAAGATTATAAAAAATAAAGAAAGATTATAATATTTAATTAAAGTAATAAACTAACTAGTAAGACTATACATTTTCCTTAATACGCTATATCGTTAATTTAGCGAGTATTATAATAGTTATCTCGAGAATTAAACTATAAGAGAATTTTTATATAGTACTATATATCTATTAAGATATATAATATTCTTAAATACTAGTATCGCTGCTATAACTAAGTTAGCTGAGTTTTTTAGTAAAATAGAATTAGAGGTTTACTTCTTAACTACTATATCATAGCTTCTAATTTAACGAAAGCCTATTTAACTATTTATTCGACTTTTTTCAAGAATTTCAAAAAAGGCCATATCACGTAGTTGCGTATTTTTGTTAAGGATCATATGTACGCAGGGTGTGAATATTACATATCGGGTAATACACCAAAAAAATAAGTCTTGGCAGGGTTTCCTGCTCAGACCCACTGCGTGGGGCCTTTCTGAGACTAAGTCGAAAAGCCTGTGTAGTGTGTGCCGTCATGTCAAGCATTTGCCAAGCCTGTCAAGCGTCGCGAATCTGGGAATCTCGGGTGATCTGCAAGCCTCAAAGCTTGGCCTATTGAATTGTGTAAGCGTGCATTATCTTGTGTACACATTGCATTGGCATATTGCTACCATTCATCAGCTGCACGAACAGGCTATTATGGCTATATTCTCCAATATGTATTAGCAAAATGCGTGAGTATCCGCCAATCTCCTATTGCTTTTCGCGGTCATCAGGTACAAGTACATTGTACACCTTGCGCGTAATCATCATCCAATCAACGCCCGTATTCGCATCACGGTCACTGCTCAGACCGAGCACCGCCTGAAGCTTCGTATCATGCTCTGCTGGGCGAAAACACTCAGTCCCACCTTCAAGGTACGTGCAGTTGCTGACATTATCTTGTCTCATAGGTTCGGATCCTATTGTCCACAGTCTCGTGGTGTATTACTATGACCGGCCTTTGATGAGTTCGCGGATACTACATTAGGAATAGAGGGAGTGATCGTCGTGCTGCAGAATATAAACGGGGGGTAAAAGACCGCAATGGGCCGTTCACCTAGGTCACTGGATGGTGGGCTCGGTGATGAGGAGAACGTATCCCGGGAAGCCGTGCTTATGATTTTGGAGAAAGAGGGTGACGGTGTCGAGAAAGCTCCGCAGAATTATTCATCGCCATTCAGACGTTCCCATGATGTTGCAATGAAGAACCGCAGAACCTCTGTGAAATTACCAATCTTGCTAGGCTTCATCTTGGTAGCCTTCATCTTCACAACTCCGCATACCGTTCCGGTCATACCTACCCGGCTCAGGGGTCAGGTTGGCGCTTGGTTGAAAATGTGTGGCTCCCATCTTGATTGGCAAGATCCCTCGGTCATCGATATCAGGACAAGGCCAGAAGATCTGGCCAAAGACCCTCGCGTGATGCATGAGATCCCTCAATACGTCCTCGACTACGCACCATTAGTCCACTTGTACTCAGAGGAACAATTCTGGCCGTGTGACATCAAGGAGCATCTCTTTCATGTCACGCCAGAGCTGAATTACACACCTATACAAGGGCTACCACAGCTGAACCTATCAAACCTCGACCAGCTGAACGAATTTGAACAGGGGCGCCATGTCTTCTTGACGAGCAATGACAACGTTGAGGATCGACCAGATTGGCTTGGAGGGCAGATCAACATACCTGATGATTTCAGTGACGATTCGAAGACTGACTGCTCCGAATCTCGAGCTACTAGCGCCAGGTTTCGGAAACAGAGCCACGGGGGGCACAGTGATGCCCCAGCTGTTCTTTTAACGATTAACAAGGGTGACGGGATTGTGGATGCTTTTTGGTTCTTCTTCTACAGCTACAACCTGGGCAACGTCGTTTTCAATATCCGATTTGGCAATCACATTGGCGATTGGGAGCATACTCTTATCCGATTTGAGCATGGGAAACCCAAAGTCGTCTTCGTCAGTGAACATTTTTTTGGGTCGGCCTATAGCTACTCTGCCGTGGAGAAAATTGGGAATAGAGTAAGTATGGAATGGTCTTTGATCGACCCCGCCCGCTGACGTGAAATAGCCTGTTGTTTATTCTGCAGTTGGGACCCATGCAATGTACGCAACGCCAGGTACTCATCCGTATATCCTCCCTCTCGGAATCCTCCACGACGAAACAGATCGCGGCCCGCTTTGGGATCCTGCTCTTAACTCTCTCACATACACGTATAATCATGTTACGGATACGTTGCACCCTTCCAATCGAACACCTGACGCTCCCACTCAATGGTTTTACTTCTCGGGAAAATGGGGCGACAAATTCTATCCATTGAATGACAACAGACAATACGGTTTTGCCGGCGAGTATCACTACGTTAATGGTCCACTTGGCCCAAGGTTCAAACACCTGGGAAGACGAAAAGTATGCCAAGGGCGCTACAGTGATCCTTGCGTTATCAAGGATCAGCTCGATCCTGATGAGGTGAGGGAGTGGCCTGGACTGGGTGAAGGCGATGATTGGCCTGATCCGGAGATGAGACCTCCAGGGTTACCGGAAGGTGGAGACGATTGATGACTTGGTTGTAGCGCACTCATTTAGCGAAGCGGGTTCTTGGGTATACACGCGGCCGAACGGTCGGACACAATAGCTGTCTCTTGGATGACGAATGCATTATTGAATCAACGATATCCCTTGACTTACGATCTCCTTTCCTGACTGACGCGACTTTCCACCACCGGCCGATTGCACCAACAGCCGCTTCCCATTGCCTCCTTGCTGACCACACCAGCAGACTTACATCGAGCCACAAAGGGGCTAGCAGCGCGGTGGCTTGCCAGCGAGACGTGCATCGAGCAGGTGCCCGAACACCCGCTTACGAAAAACTATCACGTACGCCTCTCTTACACCTCTCCTTCGGCATTCGGTCCAGCGCTGTGCAGTAGACCTGGCTTCGAATGTGGTCCCGACGCACAGTACTTCCGGACCTCGAGTCTTTACATACAGTGGTGCTAAAGCGGCAGCCACGTGTACGACATTCAAGGACATCAATGTCGTCTCCGCGATCCCCTGTCCTCTCCCCTCGCTTCCCCAACTCTCGACCCTCTCGCTCTTCCCACTCCCTCCTTCACATCCATCCATCCCTTCTTCTTCCCCCTCCTTCCCTCATCCGCCCAGCTCGGCCCCCCCTCCACCCACCCTCCTTTATTCCCATCCCGTGCCTCTTCGCCCCAGACCTGCCCCAAGCTATCCACTGACAGCTTCAAGCGCCTACGGGAGACGTTGCCGGTATCGACGGCGTGGACTACCTACGTCGGGGAGGCTCGGTGGAGAAGCTAGGACGATGGGGAGTAGCGGATGGATGGAATCGTTGCGGGGAGATATCGGTTGAGGGGGTGGGTTACCGGGGTCGTCGGTGTGTGGAAGGGCGGTTTTTGGAGGGGTGGGTTTCGCGATGGTGGGGGTTGGCGGGGTAAGGGGGGTTTGATGGGGTGGGGGTGTGGTGAAGTGTCCTGTGGAATGATGGATGATTGATGAGCAATCGGTGTTGAGTGGTAGTATCATTGTCGGGTTGTGAGATTGTGGGTATAGGGGCAGTAGGTGTGACGGACTTACTACCGTTCTTTGATTCCTGTATCCTAAGCAAGCTGACGGCAGATGCCCGCGCCGCTTGCCTCTTTGTGATACGACTTACTTACCTTCCTTGACTCAATGGTTCGACGTGTGTATATCCTTCGCACGAGATTTACGATACGCGATAAGTTGCATCGATGCCCGTTACTCCTTGCTCCCTCACTCTCCTCTCTAGAGAATTAGGAAGACGAAACCGAGTGGAAAGGGTGTTGTAGATCATGGTTCAAGTGGAAGTTCAGCAAGGAATGCCTCGTTCGATGGAAACGGTCTGGTTTAACGAATGACTTGACTAGACGCAATGTGAATATAGGAGACTCAAAGAACAGAGTGAGGTTGGTGACACCTGTCCAGGACATAGTGAATTGAGATGAGGAGGTCAATTCAATATGCAGTGATTTTTGTGTGATAGCACTGCGAAGTTTTCTGTTGGGAAATCTCGACTGCGTTGTTTGTTGTTAGATACGATGTAAGATGTAGAGACAAATGCATGACTATATAGCGATAGGAAAGCAGGGATGATATTGTACAGCAATCTTCCTCTTTGTGCCTAATGCCCAGCGTACCTTTCTCCCACGATGGGCGCCTCCACCTTGAGACTGGTAAAGGAGCAATGGCCAACACTCTTGCCCCGATACTTGAAGCTTTCCTTAGCCACCACGCCCCACATAACGCGCTTCGACGACGCATCCACGTCTGCCTCCGGTGGATGACAAGCTGCACTGATCACAGCACTACAGCTACCGGCATGAGGCATCCCGACCCGAGCCTTTCGAAAGCCAAAAGCAATGCCCAGCAGTACAACAATAGATCCGAGAATGATAACAAAGATCAAGGCAATCGGCGAGTAGCCGCAAGTCGAGACTCCTTCACCAGCGACTTCAACCCCGGCGGAATCGATAACGTTAACACGGGCAAGGAAGATGGATTGCGAGACGAACCAGTGTAGCGCACTCGAGCCTATGAGGAGTGGAATACCGTAACGATAGGGTAGTTGCAACCGATAGGTGCTTCGCTGCCCTCCTGTTGGAGATGTGACTCTTAGGAATCTTCTTTTGGATGCGTATGCGCTCCATTCCTCGGCGAGTAACATGCAGGTGAAAAGTCCATTGTAAGCGAAGTATAGGAAGGAAAGGAGAATTTGAGGCGAATTCGCAACTAGGACTGTCAAGATGACGCCAGCAGGGCCTGACAAGTCTTGGCTGTGGTTCATTCTGATCAAAGTTTCAGCGTTGACATTGCCGAAACCGAGGGACCAGAGGTGTGACATGGACCGGTCGGTCAGTTGATCGTTGTTCAGGCCTAGGCTTAGTAGAGTGCCAGTAACAACGAGAGTCGATATACATCTAGTGCGCATGTAGCGGTCAGTAATGTGCAAATCATAAAAGTATACAGTGATATGCATCATGCTTTTCAAGCTGATAGGGAGGGATATCTGCACTGCGAGAGTACACAATGTATAGATCCCATTTACATTGTTATGTGGAATCATTGGACTACTCTGGTATAGAAACAAAGTCAAGTCGAGATAGTATCCTTGCTGAGACTTACAGAACATTACAAGCGAGCCATCTTCTTTGGCTGGCAGCTCGCCACCAGCGCAATCGTTTCGGATCCCATCTGCATAAAAGCAAGTCCCAAGATCTGCTGTTTTCAAACCGAGTCTTCCCGACTATGCAATTTCCTTCGGTTGTCACGTCAGGCCGATCCAGGAAGGAGGCAATTGCGTCACCAAGAGTCACTAGTGGCTCAGGATCTTGCTTCCATGCAATTATGCTCATGCAAACAGTCTTTATCAGATTGCATATGATGACCACAATCATGATCGCTAGACTGAATTGTAGCTTGCAATGCTCCTCTACGCTCTTGCTAAGACAATATTGAATGACGCTTTCGTTGAAAAATAACTTTCGGGGATGGATAATCGTCGCTCGGCACATCTGCTGCAATTTGAGATAGTGTTAACACGGAAGTATCGCAGTCCTTAGTAGTGAGTAATCCCGGCAGGACCGCCGTTGCTATCGATGATCAATTGCGATTCTTCGCCCAGAATCGCCGTAGAGTACAGCGTTGGTGGAATCTGAGAAGGTAGAGACCAGAAGTAAGTCTGAATTCTTGGAGATTATCGGGGCTGTATAAACCTCCACACATGCTTTATTCTCGAGCTTTACTAACAATGCCTGGTTCTTCTGGTAGTCCTTCAAGGTGTTCGTAGCGATCGTGAGATCCGTCGTTAAATCATCAAAGTCAATTGGCAGGTTCGAGAAATCGAACGGTGCCCCGTCTAAGAACTCGCTCGACACCACGTAAACATTATACTGACCGGTGCACAGACTGGAGAAGACTGCGCTGTTATAGAGTAAATGTAAGGGTACCGATGAGATAGCTAGCAACCACCAAAGAACAATTCGGCTTGTCGAAAGCCTTCGCAAGTTCCTGACACTGGGGACCCCAATGTCTAGCCAGACACCCTGGCCATGAGCCTTGTCGATCTCGCTGCGTGTAGGGGAAGATAGGCATTGCATGCTGTAGTTACTCGCGCCTAATAGCAACGTACTCAGAACGTTGATAGCGAGATGCATCAAAAATGTAAGGGTCGCCGTCCTTTTACAGCTTCCATCATGTAGAGTTCCAAGGCCGTTCTGGACCCCAGATATTGAGACTGCCCATATCGTCAAGATGAGATTGAGGACGAGGACCACGGCGGCGACCACTGCACAGCAAAGTACACCGAAATGGTATCCCTCCAGCTTTCTTAGTCGATGATAGTATAGAGACTTGAGACAGTGACGGACAAAGTGTATCCGACTCGGTGGCCTCGGCAATCCTTTGTTGAGGTCTTTGTTCGAAGCATACTGATTGAGCTTTGTCGAGGAGGAAGAGTTATGTCCGGGGATTGATCTTCTCTCTCAAAATTAGTGTCAGTTTCAGATGTATTTTTTAGGCAACGAACGCTGACCCGCTGAAGTTCGACATCTCCAATGTACTGGGCTCTGAGTCGGCATCGAGTGATGCGTATACCCGTCCACGATGAGCAAAGGCCAGCCAGGTCGGCAACAGGCTCTTTTTGGGTAGGGTCATGTTATGTATACTTGCACGCACTGTCCGCAGATAATTCAGAAGTTGTAAGGACCTCTTCCTCGTGCTGGTATTGTCGAGATCGATGGCGACAAGGACGCCGGACGTAGTCTACATGGGAAATCATATGATAGATGCCAGATGTCTTTAGAATTTGAAGACAAAAGGGTGTTCTGACGCCAGATCCTTGCAGGTTTTAGCACTCGAGGATTGCGGCTGAGCCATGCCCGACGTGAGGGTTGAAGACCAGGAAAGCAAAGGATCGAGAAACGCGTAATTGGGTACTCGCTTTGGCGTTTGCCGGAATCTAGCCCGACCGTGATGGAGGTGTGTCCAGAATGCTGATATTGCTGTTGTGATAGATAGTTTCTATTGATACTCGCCATCGTCCCTTTTTGGGTCCTAGCAGATGAGTACACGGCTCTACTTTCGCTGATATAGCCAGCAACTCTCAAGAGGGTCGTGCGCCATATAAACGAAGGATAGGCTGCTCAGATCATGACAAACCAATCATAGCGCCTCAAACCTGCCATACTCTAGTCATACTTCGTCCAGAGTTTCCAACCCTAGATGTAGTCCACAGTGAAATTTTGAAGGAGAGCCAGCCACTCTTCTGAAAGGGGTTCTTCAAGTATTCGATGCACATTAAAGGGGATTCGACAGCGTTCCTGAGGATGCTTCATTTCTCATGTATGGTTCAAGAGGTGAAAGATATGAGGTTCGGTCCCATCACCACGTCGAAAAGTTGTAACGCACCCTCGTACACACGCTCTTCCTCGCCTCCGGGAGACTTGGCATAGAGGCGAAGTATGTCCTTTTATCAGGCTGTGGTAGCAGGATGCATACTTTTCATTGTCTGTTTGGATGAAAGGGTAGGAAACCGTGCAGATTATGGTCTACATACTCTATGCAGATCAAAGGGGTGATTGATTGATTGATTGATTACATCATACTACCCTGAAGTCTTACCTTAGTGGCCGACTATGCGAGTTACGTAATCTATCTGATCCTTTTAGCCAATTATATAGTCTTAAATAAATGAGACTATATAAGTTACCATTATGATTCGCGTCTTATTATATTTAATTCTTGGAAAGGAGTATACTCTATATCGCTAAGGCCCTCTTATCTTGATTATATTCTTCTTTTTAATTATCTATTCTAGTGAATTCTTATTATTAATCTTTATTAAGGGCTTAATATTATCTAATAAATTTAGTATTTCTTATAAAGTTCGCTATTATAGAGGCGTAGCGTAATTTTATTAATATATTCTTATAAGTAATAATCTTCTCTTTTATCTTTCTTCTTTCTTTAATTTATTATATTCCTCGCTTCTTATTAAATAGTCTATATTTATAAAGAATATATCGAGTTATCTACTTCGCTTTATATTTATATTCTTTATTCTCTATATTTAATATCTATTAATTATAAAGAAAGATCTTAAAATCTATTTTCTCGATTTTTATTTATATTATTAGCGACGTCTTAACGCGCTTAACTCTCGAATATAGAAATTATATTTATTTCGACAGTATTAATTAAATTCTTTTAAGAATATTATCTCGCTTTTTATTAGTCTATTTAATAGTCTATTATTTTATCGCGTAGTTTTTAATAGTTATCTTAATTATTAATATTATTCTTATCTATATAATTAATAATTAAACTATTTCATTAATATTTATCTTTACTCTTTTATTATAAATTACTTAAGGCTCTCGCTAATTAATAATCTTCTTTATCTCTCTATTCGCTTATTTATTATTATTAATATCGATATATATTAGAATCTAGTATAATTTTATTACTATTTCGAGATATCTTAGCGAATTAATAATCTATATTATTTATATTATATAGATCTATTTTAAATACTTATCTAAGTCTTCGATAATCTAAATTAATATTTAATTATTTATATTTATTATAACTCTATTAAGTTATAATTTTATTTAATATATAGCTATTATAATTAAAGCTTAAAGAATATTATATAATTTTATTAAATATATTATATATTAATCGTTTAAGTTTAAATAGATATTAAAAATAGAATTAATATCTAATAATATAGTTAAAGCTCTTATCTTTTTATTAATCTTACTATTATCTATATATATTATTATATAATTATTATTAATTAATCTTTTAATTAGTTCTTTAACGACTTTTTTAATCTTATAAATTATTATTTTAGAAGATTTTTAATTAAGAGTAATACTAAAAGAGTATAATTTCTTAATCTTATTAATATCGTTATATTGTTCTTCGAATCTATTAATATATCGCTTTAGTAAACTTAGTTTTTTATTCTTCTTAAGTTTTCTTTTAGACTTTTATTACTTAAATTATAATTTAATAATCTCGCTATATATTAAATTAGTAATAATTTATAAAATAGCTTTTAAGATAATCTTATTTAATTATTATTTAATTAATAGAAAATATACTTCTATATTAAGTGCTAGAATAGATATAATCTTAAATACTTTAATTATCTTCTTCTTTATCTAAGATTAAATTCTTTATAATAATAAGAGATAAGTTTTATTATAGTCGATAGTATCTTTAGATTAATATTATACTAAGTAGTAGTATATTATTTATAGAATAATTATTATCTAATAGAGCTATCTTATACTCTTATAATTATTCCTCTATATTAATTCGATAATTTTTATTAATATATTAATACTTTTAGTAGTCTTAGATTAAATCTTCTTATTATAATAGCTTTATAGAAGTTTAAAGTTAATTTCAACTTCTAGATAGCGAATAAAGCGTCTTATCTTAATATATTATCTCTTATTAAGTTATAGAGAATAATTTAAACTAAATCTCTATTTTCTATTAAGATATAGTAGTTGATATTTATTAAGATTAAACTTTAATCTATATTATAATATCTACTTTATATAAACTTCGTTATAAATTTTATAAAGAGCGTTATAATTTTTCTCGATAAAGTCTCTTATTATTAGAAGATCTATATCATCTATAAAGTCGATAGCTATTATTTTTAAGTTAGCGCGATTATTATATTTATTAATAAGATTTAAGTTATAGAAGAGATAAAGTATAAGCGATAATAGTAATTCTTAAGAAATTTTAATTGCTATAAAAGTCTTTAATATAAAGTATTCGCTTATTTTTAATACTATTATTCTATTAAATAAAAACGATTCTATCTAATTAATTATTCTTATATTAATTTTTTACTTTTAAAGATTATAGAGTAATCGAGAATAAAAGATTTTATTATATATACTTAAAACGTCTAATAGTAATATCGTAGTTACTTTATTAGAGTTTTATATCTAATATATTCTTTTTAGAAGATAGTAGATATCGTATTTATATAATTATAATCTATAGTCTCTTATATATATAATCGATAGAAGTCTATATATCTTTATAAGATATATTATTCTTCTAGTAAGAATAAATTTTATTATCTTTTTTATAATATTAAGTAGAGCTATTAATTAATATTCTTTAGAAATCGAGTAATTCTTATCTAATTTCGAAAGAATAATTATTATTAATATTTTAAAGTACTCTAGATAATAATCGTTTATTATATATATATTAAATATTCTATATAGATAAGAGAGTAATAACTTTAGAATCTTTTTAAGAATTAGATTAGAGATCGCGTTTTCCTCTAAGACTCTCTTTAACGATACTTATATTATAATCTTTCTTATTTTATTTATAATAATTATACTTATTAAATAAATTTATAAATATATTATATTAATACTAATATTATCTAACTTCGTCTATATTAATAATAAAAAAAACGTTTTTATAAGAAGATCTACCTTTAAGTCTAATTTATTATATTCTTATTTATCTTTATTAAATAGCGAAGAGAGATATATTTATATTATAAGTTATTTTCTAGCTTACTTAGTCTTTTTTTATTTTATTTATAATAACTTATATATCTCTACTATAAACTCTCTAAACGCCTTTCTAATAATTCTCTTAATTAAATTATTTTTAAAGTTCTTAGCGACTTTATATTTATCTTATATTTTCTTTAAAAGTATTATTCTTTAGCTTCTTTTTAGTAATTTATAATATCTTTATACTTTTTTATATTCTAGCGTAAATTCTAATTTAGACTATAATAATAATTTAATAATCGAAGTAAACTTCTTTATAATCGCTTAAATAGAGTTAATAATAGCCGCTACTTAATAATTAATATTATTATTAATAAGATTTCTATTATTTCTTAAAAGATTAATTAGATACTCTTTCGATATTATAGCTCTAGCGAGTATCTCTTTTAAAATCTTAATATCTAGTTTATTAAAGTTTCGATATATTATTAATACTAACTTTATTATAACTAGCTTAAACTTTATAAGAATTAAAAGATAATTAAATTTACTTTCGAAATTATTTTCGATATTATAATTAATAATATTTATTATTAGTATTAAAGTAGCGAATAATAGATCTATTATTATTTAATAAGTAAAGACCTATAAATTAAATTCATGGAGTTAAATTTTTCTAAGTTAAATCGAATTTTAGCTCTAGCTCTAAGTTAAATCGAAGCCTAATCGCTTACTATACGTTTTTAATCTATATGCGAAGAGAGGCGCGCTAAGGTCTAATTAGAAAGGTATATTAAGTGTAAAGAATTAATCCGTAATAATTGCTTATAAAAAATAGAGAAAGGCTACGTTCTTATGATAAGAAGTATCGAAATATCGAAAAGAAATGAAGATAACGTATTAATTAGTGGTATAAATCCCACAATATCTTCTACCGTAGTAAAATCTTTCGAATAATAAAATAGCTATAGATATCGAATAATTTTAATTCGTTTAAATATATATCGTTCGATATTTCTTCTATAGAGACCTAATTAACTATAATAGTAGATTCTTCTCTTATAACGTTATTATAGTAATATATTATATTAATATAATAGAAATAATAGATTAAGTTATAGTAATATTCTTCGCTTACTAAGTAAT